ATGGACCGAAGATGACCGAAAAGGCAAACATGCACGGGCACCCTCGGAAATGCTGTCCTTTGTACCGACAGGCATTGGCACGACAATGCTCAGGCAGCTTCGGGTGCCCAGGGAAGCGTCCCGGCGCCCCGTCGGGCTGCCCGGGCAAGCGCCCCGGCACGTATCCTCGGGCGTTGTGCAGGGAAGCGCTGCGGCAAGTGCTGTCGGGCGCCTCGAAGAAACGCCCTGGCGCGTGCCGTCGGGCGCCTCAGGGAGGCGCCCTGGCAGATACCTTCGAACGCAGGGAGGCGTCCTATCAAATAACTCTGGATGCGCCCGCCGGGCACCGGCAGGCGGGCGGGGGTCGGCAACGGAGGCGCAACAACGTCACACACAGACACACGCAGACACACACACAAACACACACACAGACGAAAACACACACTAACACACACACATAAACACACACAGACACGGACAGACACAGACACACACAGCCACACACACCGATGCACACAAACACACACACACAAACACACACACAAAGACACACACACAGACAGACAAACAAAAACACACACACATACACATACACACAGAGATGCACACACACATACACACAGACACACAGACACACACTGACACACACACACACACAAACGCACGCGGGCACACACAGACACACATAGAAACACACAGGCACACAAGCCGACACACACAGACACACACAGACACACACACACACACATACACAGACACACAAACACACACACAGACACACGCAGACGGACACATACTCTCATACACACGGAAACACAAACACACACAGAGACACACACACACAAACAAACATAGACGTACTTCGACGCACACGCAGAGTCACGCACACAAGCAACAAACATACAGACACACACACACAAACACACACGCAGACGCACACGCACAAACACACACACAAACACGCACACACAGTCGCACACACACAAGCGCGCACACAGACGCACACGCCGACGCACACACACACACACACGCAGACACACACACACACACCAACACACACAACCACACACATACACGCACGTACAGAGACACGTATACATATCCACACACACGCGCAAGCACAAACACACACACACATGCACGCGCATACACATATACTCATACACAGACACACACACGAACACAAACAAATGCAACCAGCCACACGCAGACACACACACACACAGACACAACCCCCCACACGCACAGACACGAAGACACATACACACGCATATACACACATCGACAAAGGCACAAACACACGCACACATACGCATACATACACACAAACGCACACGCTGACACGCACGCAGGCAAACGCGCAGACTCACACATCCACGCGTACATTTGGACGCCCGAAATGGGCACGGACAAATGGGTAATGTGCCCAACAACAAATGTCGCCCCAAACAAACAGCGGCCGCTGTTGGACAGGCGGCCTTCTGTCTCGAATGCACACTTGCCGCGGCGGCGCGGACAGCGAATCCGGGTCAAAATGAGCAGGAACTGCTGTTGGGCATTGTGTCAATGTTTTCCGCGCCCATTTCGGGCGCCCAGACAGACGCACACAGGCGCGCGCAGACTCGCGCATACACACGCACGCGCGCGCACGTCTTGGCGAACGCTGGGGAGTGCCCGGGCGCCCCGGACCTCCCGCGCGCGGTCCAGGTTCCTGCCCGAGGGGCCCCCGGATCCTGTCCTCTGTTGTGTGTCTATGAGTTCTACGCACGGACGCACGCGCGCTGTGGTCGGGGGCCGCGAGGCGCTGTCAGCCCCTGCGCGCTCGCGAACTTCGTGGTCTGCGCGCCCTGTCGTTTCCGTCCTACGTGGGAACGCGCTTGGGGAACGGTTCAAGTTAGGAGGCGAAGACAGGTATAACGCATGGCCTCCCGCCATCGCGGGCGCCTGCCCCCCCCCCCGGGGGATATGAACTTTGCAGCCGCAGAGGGGGGCCAGGCGTTCCCGACGACGAAAGCATCTATTTCATTCCGTTCTTCGGTCCCACACAAGGCCTTGTCGACGTGCAGCAACGCCACCTCCTCCCCCATGGTTCTCATAGCCCTCTCCTGATTCTGCTCCTCGGTCAGAAGGACGCCGTCCTCGTCGTCGTCACGCCCGCGAAGACGGCCACGAACGCGTCCCTGAGCTTGTCGGGCTCCGGCGGGAAGCCGTGGCCACCGGGAGCGCGGGAGAAGATGGTAGTCAGACCTGCGGCATTCACAACAGCATTTGGTCGGGTCCTTCGCCAGGCGAATTTCATTCCGTTCTTCGGCCTCTCGCAAGGGGGGACAACTTTGAAGGGGCCCTGGGACACACAAGTAACAGGATCCCCCATATCTTTCACATATTTTCGGAGTTTTCGTCTTCTGCCCCACTTCCCATATTTCCCCATATTTCCCTGGGGATCGACGATTAATTGTGTCTGTGTGCTTTGTCCCCTCCTGAAACATCGAGCTCGAATCGGCGATGCATCGCCGACGGACTAGCGATGGTCCCCCGGATGGCGCGCCCGCGAGGTCCCAGGCGGGGCGGGCCGCGGCCCCCCGGAAGCGATGAATGGGCGAATGGGGGTCGGTGCGCCCCCCTTAAGATACACGCCGGTCGGAAGAAGTCGGCAGAAACATGGAGGGGACAGGAGAAAGGGGGTGGGACAGGAGAGAGGAGGGGGGTTGGGGGGGGCCGGGATCATCACCATCTCCATCTCCATCACCATCACCATCGTCATATCACCATCACAATCACCATGACCATGACCATGACCATGACCATGACCATGACCATGACCATGACCATGACCATGACCATGACCATGACCATGACCATCATCATCATCATCATCATCATCATCATCATCATCATCATCATCATCATCTGGAGCGCCCCAGATCGGCGGCACTGGCCGGAGGCCACTACAATACACGTCGGTCGGAAAAAGTCGGCAGAAACAGGAAGTACGAATCGGGGGCGCGCAAACATGGATTAGCGATCCATGGCTTTGGCGCGCGGTCACCAAATCCATGGATTGGGGGAGGTGCCCTCCCCCAAATGCGGCCGGTGCCACCTCACTCGGCGACGGAAATCCGCGATTTCCAATGGCAACGGGACCCGTCGCTAATCCACGCCCCCTTAATCCATGTTTGCGATCGCCTGTACGAACTCGGATGAAGTAGATCGGGTTCGGGCCCTACCAGAGAACACCAAGACACAGCAACAAAACATCGATTCTTGAAGGGGGAGGCGCTTGAAGCAGATTGGGATCTGGGAGTATCCCCACCTAGCGCTGCCCCCCCAGTGTTGTCGACGACGGCCGCTGGAGGAGGTATTTTTGGTTGGGCCCAGGCCCGTCGGGCCCCCATGGGCGATGACTGGGAGATTGGGGGTCGGTTCGTATCCTCTTAGAAGCCTATCCCCACGTGTCGCTGCCCCCCCAATGCTGTCGACGACGGCCGCTGGGCGAGGTATTTTTGGTTGGGCCCAGGCTTGCGCGGGCTCTGTGGCGCCATGGCAGACAGAGCCTGCCTCAATGGAGGGACTGGTCTCCCCCCAGCGGACCCTGGGATCTCTGCTGGCAAGGTGCTAGGAAGGAGTTCTTCTGGGACTACAACGCAGCCGACGCCCGGCTCTTCTGCACACCGCCCTGTTGCGTGTCAGCGATCTTGAGCCTCAATGTTCGAAACATCGGGCTGCCCAAATTTCTGTCGATGCGTAGGCCCTGGAAATCTGGGCCACTCCCCTCGAACCGGCTTTTCGCCCTGACTTGTTTTTTGACGGATCCGAAGCTGGGCGAAGGCCCCTGGAGTCCGAAAGCTGCCAGAATCCCGCCGCTCCATTTTCTTTCGAGCGTCGGATCTCTGGGCTCGAGCTTCAGGCTAGCCTCGAATCTCGGCATACGTGTTTGTCCTCGAAGAACCACCACGCGGCCCCAAGGGGCCCCCAGGAGGCCCCCAGAGGCGCCCCAGAGGCCCCAAGAGGCCTTCAAGAGGCCCCCGAAGTGCTTCCAGGGGGCCCCCAAGAGGCCTCCCGAGAGGTCTTCCACGAGATACCAGCGAACATCCACCAGGCTTAAAAACCCGCAGCAAAGGCACGGTGGCAGGACTTGCCATGGGCAGCCGGATTCCTCGAAGACCCACCGCGCGGCCTCTGGGCGGCGCCTCCGCCCGCAGCAGACGCTCCTCTTCGGGCGCAAGCGCCCGCAAGCAAGCGTGCACCGTGGCCGCTGCCCCGCGCCAAGATGCTACAGCCAGAGCGCTGCATCGAGGACGGGTGCCTTGGAGACCGAAGCTGGGTTTTTTTTCGGGCGGCGGGCGACAAGCAAAAACGGAGAAGGGCGGGCCGCAGAGGCTGAAGGGGCCCCAGGACACGCACATAAATGCACACAAATAAAAGGTGCCCCCAACATTCTCCCATATCTTCTGGGATTTCGTCCTCCCCCCCACTCCCCATATCCTCCCATGTTTTCTGGGGAATCGACGATTCATTGTGCCTGTGTGTTTTTGTTCCCCTCCCGGGAGGCAGGGGGCGCGAGGACACCCCGGACGAAGGCGCGCGCCCTCGCTGGGCGCGCTGGCTGCCTAGCGCTCCGCCGTCGGGCGGCCGCCCCGCGACACCGCCGCCGGCCCCCGGCTCCCGAGGCGGCTCCGGCGGCGCAGCCGGCGGCACGTTCCGGTGCGCCTGTCTGAGAGGATCGGTGGAGGAGGGGCCCCGAGGACACACGAACACACACACACACACGAACACACACACACACACAAACAACAGGACTCCCCCTATTTTCTCGTCTGTTCTGGTTTTTGTTCGCCTTCCCCCCCCCCTTCCCACACCTTCCCACATTTTCCTGGGAGTGGCCGTTAAACTTGTGTCTATGTGTCTCTGTCCCCTCCTGAGTGGAGGAGGGCCGGAGGACGATGGAGGATGGGGGAGGGAGGCGCGGAGCTGTCGACGACGACGACGGCGGCGGCGGCGGCGGCGGCGGCGTTGAGCTCCTCCGACGGTCACCCTCGGAGAGGCCACGGCGTGCGGGGAGCCGTCGAGCGGCAGCATCCCGACGCCCACGCGGACCTGGCGGCGGCCGCGCCCTGCGCCTCCCTCCTGCAGCTCGAACCGTTGATGAGCACGTGGTGTGCAAGGATTCCTCCTCATTCTCCTCCTCCTCCTCCTCCTCCTCCTCCTCCTCCTCCTCCTCCTCCTCCTCCTCCCCCTCCTCCCCCTGCTCCTCCTCCTCCTCCTCCTCCTCCTCCTCCTCCTCCTCCTCCTCCTCCTCCTCCTCCTCCTCCTCCCCCTCCTCCCTCTCCTCCCCCTCCTCCCCCTGCTCCTCCTCATTCATGCGGGCGCCCAGGACGCACCAAGACAGGGGTAGTGAGTGACCCTTGGTGCGGGGAGGCCGAAGAGACGGCAAGCACGCCCATGACCGAGGGATGCAAGGTCTCACATCTTGCCATCGCTCGGACGTCCATTCCCTATGTTTTTTTCGGTTTCGTGCATGGTTTTTTCGCCAAATGATCAAGGATGCTCCTCGATGGTCCTCGCCGAAGGAAAAATGCACACGTCCGAGCGATGCCAAGACATGCTACGAAGGCGCATCCAAGAGGCTTGGTTGACTGCACCTCCTCCCCCCCCAAGAGCGACATGGCTACCCCTGTCGGCCGCAGCCGCACCAGTCCATCAGCGGATCGACGACAGAACTGACTTGCTCAAAACTTGCTTTGTCCGAAGAAACCTCTGGAGCATGCGAAGATGCTTCGTAGATGCGTGGATGCTCAGCAGATCTGCGGAGCATCCGACGTAGTTCTCGTAGACTCGACGAATAAATAATTTTGTAGATCCTCGTAGATCCAGTCACGGATTCACGGTGGCGGACAAGGCCGAAAGCCATTGCATACGTGGCCTGTTTGGGCCGTCTTGGAAACCCCTCTGGAAGCCACCCAGAAACGCCACTGAACAACTCGAAAGCCTTCTTTGGGGTCGGCGGCAGAGGCGGCAGCCTTTAAACAAATAATCTTGTAGATCCTCGTAGATCCTCGTAGATTCGCATGTCTCGTAGATCCTCGTAGGCTCGCAGTCGGCCCCCTGCTCGAGCTGGGGGCCCGGTGCTCCCGAGCGGCGGCCGGCGCTCCGTGGCCCTTCCTCCGCCTGGGTCCCCGCGGCGCTGCTCTGGTTCCGGGCAGCGAGGCCGCACGCGCGCCGTGGAGACCTTCCTGGACCCACGCGCTCAGTCCAAGCCGGTCTTCCTGTTCAGCCAGTCTCGGAGGACCAGGCTATCTTTTCCCGCGCTTCCACGCAGCCGAGGCAACAGAGCGAAGCGCACGTGCCCGCGGCAACTATTGCACCAAATTAGGAGGAGGAGGAGGAGGAGGAGGAGGAGGAGGAGGAGGAGGAGGAGGAAGAAGAGGACAGACGCCAACATATCAGCTCTATGCAAGCTCCCGGGGCCATGTGCCAACGCGGGCAAGGACCTTCACCCCGAGCGCGGCCAGCCGCACGGCAGCCGGCGGCCCCGACGACGGCCGCAGGGAAGCGGCCCGCGCCGCGCAGATGGCGTCGGGGGAGGCCCTCGTGGCCACCACCGGATTCGCCTCGAAATTCTGGTCAGAACGCACCGCGGGAGAGGTCTGGGGAGTGGCAGAATCAGTTTTTTTTTGATTCCCCGATCCATCGTCGGCCCCCCCTCCCCTCTTTCCCGATCCGCCGTCGCCCCCACCCCCCCCCTTCCCCGATCCGTCGTTGGGGACCCCCCCCCCCCCCTTCCCCGATCCGTCGTCGCCCCCCCCCCCACCTTCCCCGATCCGTCGTCGGGGACCCCCCCCCCCTTCCCCGATCCGTCGTCGGGGACCCCCCCCTCCCCCGCCTTTCAAGGGGGGGGGTCCGCCCCCCCCCTCCCCTCTTTGGCCGCCCCCCCCCCCCCCCTTTTCCCCCTTTCGCCACGCCGCCCCTGACTCCGGAACCCGACCACCGCCACCCCCACCCCTAATCCTCACCCTAACCCAAACCCCCTAATCCTAACCCCAACCACTAACCCCAGCCCCAAGGAGTACTCACTACTCATTACTCACTACCCCCTATGGACTACTCGCTATTCGCTACTCACTTCTCACTACCCCCTACTCACTACTCACGACTCACTACTCACTATCCACTACTCACTACCCACCACCCACTACTCGCTACTCACTACTCCCTACTCACTACTCCCTCCTCCCTACTAACTACTTACTACTCACTCCTCACTACCCACTACTCATTACTCACTACTCATTAAGCATTACTCACTGCTCCCTACTCACTGCTCACTAATCACTACTCACTACCCACTACCGACCAGCCACTACTCACGACTCATTGCCACACAAATCACTACTCAATACCCACTACTCGCTACTCCCTACACAATACTGACTATACAGTACTCAGTACTCACTACTCGCTAACCGCATACTCGCTACTCAATACTCACTCCCCGCTACTCACTACTCACTACGCACTACTCATTACTCCCTACTCAATAGGCACTGCATAGTCTCTAGTCACTAGACACAACTCACAATCACTAGTCACTACTCACTATTCGCAACCCACTTCTTACTACTCAGAGCTCACTACTCCCTACTCCCTACTCCCAACTCACTACTCACTAGTCGCTACTCCCTACTCGTTACTCACTAATCACTACCCACTACTTGCTACTGACTACTCTCTACTCACTACGCCCTACTCGCTCTTCACTACTCACTACTCGCTTCTGCCTACTCGCTACTCACTACTCACTACCCACTGCCACTACCCACTACTCTCTATTCATCACTACTCACTAATCACTACTCGCTACGCTCTACGTACTACTCAGTACTCAGTACTCACTACTCACTACTCATTACTCACTACTCGCTACTCACTACTCACTACTCACTACTCACTACTCACAACGCACTACGCCCTACCCACTACTCACTAGTCACTAATCGCTACTCGCCACCCACTACTCACGAACCACTACTACCTACCCACTACTCATTACTCCCTACTCCGTACTCGCTACTCGCTACCCCCTACTCACTACTCGCCACTCACTACTCACTTATCAATACACACTACTCGCTACTCGCTACTCACTACTCACTACTCACTACGCACTACGCCCTACCCACTACTCACTACCCACCAATCGTTACTCGCCACCCACTACTCACGACCCACTACTACCTACCCACTACTCATTACTCCCTACTCCCTACTCAGTACTCACTACTCGCTACTCGCTACTCACTACTCACTACTCACTACTCGCCACTCACTACTCACTTATCAATACACACTACTCACTATTCACTACTCTCCATTCCCTACTCCCTACTCCCTACTCGCCACTCACTACCCACTACTCACTACCCAATACTCACTACTCAGTACGCACTAACTCACTACTCACTACTCACCACTCCCTACTCCCAACTCCGTACTCCCTACACAACTTCTCTGGCGCAGAAAGGAGGAGCGAGAGAGGCGCCCCCCTCCCCAGCTCCCTTTCCGGCGCAAAGAGGGGGAGGGGGGGGGGGTCCAAACCCCGCCCCCCCCCTTTCCAGCGCCAAGGGGGGGAGGGGGGGGGGGGTCCGGACCCCCCCGAGGGGGGGGAGGGTTTGGAACCCCCCTCCCCCCCTCTGAAGGGGGGGAGGGCGGGGGGGGGGTTCAGCACCCCCCCCCCTTCAGTGTATTCAGGGAGATCCACTGGCGCACTTTCTAAATCTTGCATATTGAGCTCGGTCCTTTCCACGCTGCTCCCTGGACTTGCGCAAGTTTTCGTTTGACGTCTGCGGATCAGAGGATTGCTACTTAACATGGTTGGTGGTTTTCGTTGTCATCTGACCACATCACACCGAGGACTCAGTAATCAAGCATGGCCGCGAGGATATTGTATTATGTTGTTCGTTCCCCATCTCGTAAGGATTGGGTAATTATCATTTTTCCGACCGCGCCGACTCCTCACACACACACACACTTCCCCCCTCCTCTTTGCCTCATGATGATGACGATGACGATGACGATGATGATGCTGCTGTTGCTGATGATGGTGACGATGACCATGATGATGCTGATGCAACGGATGATGATGCTGACGCTGACGCTGATGATGATGACGCTGATGCTGATGCTGATGACCATGGTGATGATGCTGCTGATGATGATGGTGATAGTGATGGTGATGCTGATGATGTTGATGCTGATGATGCTGATGCTGCTGCTGATGCTGCTGCTGATGATGATGGTTAGGAGGGTGAGGATGATGACGGCGCATATTGTTTTGAGGATTGTCTCGGGCGAAGCGCTGGTTTCAGCACCCCCAAAACGGGGTATCTCACTCATCCGTTCGTGTACAGATTGCGGGGGTGTCTCGATCGATTTGCCCATGCCCAACACCATCCGCTTTCGGGGCAGACGTTGAGGATGTTTCGGGCGAGGCGCTGGTTTTCGCACACCCAAGGCGGGCGCCAAGGGGTATATCACTCCTTGTTCGCGCCCAGATGTTGGAGATGCCTCAAACAATTTGCCAGTTTGCGTGCTCCACATCCTCCGCGTTCGGAGCAGATGTTGAGGATGTCTCGGGCGAGGCGCTGGCTTTTGCATACCAGGGGGGGCCCAGATTGCGGGGATGTCTCGAGCGGTTTGCCTGTGTTGGTGGCCAGACTCGTCTGCGTCCAGTGCAGACGTTGAGGATGTCTCGGGCGAGGCGCTTGTGTCAGCACCCCCAGGGGCCCAGCTTGCGAGGATATCTCGGGCGGTTTACCTGTTGTTGGTGGCCAGACTCGTCTGCGTTCAGAGCAGCGTAATAGGATGTCTCGAGCGAGGTGCTGGTGCACTCTCAAAGGGGAGACGCTAGGGTGTTCTCACGGGCCCGTTCGCGCGAATATTGTGGGGTTGTCTCCAGCGGATTGCGCGCTTGGGTGCCCAGCATGCTCTGCATTCGGAGCAAATGGTGAAGATGCCTCGAACGAGGCACTGGTTTCGTCCGGGTATATTTCACTTACCCGTTCGCGGCCAGCTCGCGGTTTGCCTGTTTGGTGGCCCAG